TTTATAATGACTCAAATAATTCCTCAAAATTAACCCTAAATTACACAAATGTGTCCCAAATGACTCCCAGTGACTGTGACACCTGGATGGACGTAGAACTGATCTGGTGTCAGTTTTTAAACAGAACTCAAACGTGTTTTTCATCCATTAAAAATCTTTCAAAATGACAATTATCTGTCCAACAAACTGTTGAAGATGACGTGAAAGTTGGTCAAAATGACTTAAAAATGTTGGAGGTTAGTAAAAAAATGTTCTAAATGACTCCAGAACGACGTCAAACATCCAGAAATACCAAAATAATAGCCCGAAATGCCTCAAAAATAGATCAGAATTAGTCCAAAATAACTCAAAAGTGATCAATCTGGACCATCCTCTGTGGACTTCAAGGACCTGGAACTCTGGAAACATTCACAGGATGCAGGCAGAAGTTCTTGCAGACAGAAAGTGCAGCGTGGTGGTTCTGCTGGAGGCTTCTGTGTGGCCTTACCGTATGAGGGATGCTACTTAGCTGAGCAGACGCTAATTAAAGACCCCCCGTGGAGCTGTTGACCTCTTGCAGCGCTGCAGAGCAACACTTTGAACCGTTTTTCTAACAAACAAGCCTGTGAGCCGCTGACTGACAGCTGGAAGTGGCGCCGCGCTCGGAGACGCGGCAACTCAGCAACAAAGGCGGCGAAATAAGCAGAACGCAGGCGAGGATGTAAACAGCTTTTCAAAGTGCTTCGCCTGAGCTCGCTGTCCTCGAACCATTAACGCGTGAGCTGCCTTCTGCCGCATGTGGGAGTGCCGTGGATGCATCTACATCAAACGCAGGCACAACTTTCACATGTCGGGCTGCACATGTGCTGCGGGAAACCAAGTAAAGGTGTCGAAGCAGCTTTGGTGGGTCACGGTTTGGGAGTCGTGCATGTTTGCAGAGTCCTTGAGGCTGATTCGTGGTTCCTCGTCCTGCAGGAGCTACATGTAGTTCTGCTGCTGTTTCTTCATGTTGGTTCTTCACACTGGTTCCAGATTGGACTGTAGGCCCGAGGGCGGACGTGGCACCAGGCTTTCTGGAGATGTTTGGGTTCTGTAGACGTCCAAATCAAAGCCACTTCTAAAGTCCAGCAGCGTTTTAAGTTCCTTTCTTTTCTCAGTTGCGGTGCGGACGGTTCTGACGGTGACAAATGTTAGGGTGCATAACAAGGTCTTCAGTTTCATCCATGCAGATCATTAATAACCTGGTGGATGATGAAGTTATCATCAAGTGGACACGTGGATAGAAGTTTTTAAACATGTCAGCGTTAGAGAAGCACATTTTTCTTAACCGATAATCGGCAGCGTTATCAACCGGTAACTCAGTGCAAGTGATCACTGTAGACTCTGGATGCTAATTCTAAAGCTATTGTTATCCACAAATACCTGCCGTCAGCAGCAGAAGAAGCCTGGATGTGTTCGCTACTCAGGTGTTGGATCGCTGTCCTGACAAAGTTCTAGTCGGAGGTCCTGAACCTCCTCAGAGTCTCTGTCATGGTCCCGTTACTGCTAAACTCCCACAATGCTCTCTGCTGCCACCATGAGCTGTAGTCTGAGTGATGCCTCCTCTGGTCTCTAAACAGTGAGAGGCTCCACCTGCTGGAACAACCAGGTACTGCAGCTAAACTCAAAAACTCGACAAAAACATCTCGACGCATGTCCGGATTGACTCAAAATTGGTCTAAAATCCTCAAAACTTGTTCATATTTTCTCAGAATTCAATTGTTCCAAAAGAAAAGTCTTGAAAATGACGAAACTTTTGTCCATAACGACTAAAAACTTGTCCAAAACACGTTGACAGTAACTAGCTAAACTCCCACAATGCTCTCTGCTGCCACCATGAGCTGTAGTCTGAGTGACGCCTCCTCTGGTCTCTAAACAGTGAGAGACTCCACCTGGTGGAACAACCAGGTACTGCAGCTGGTCTATGATACGTGTTCTAACGACCTTCTTCTTCTGCCTTATTGTTTCATATTTTGCTCATCAGTTAAATTAATAATGGCAATTAATCAAATAATAACCAACATGCTAACAAATGTTCTCAGTGAAACACAGTTGAGTCAACTCTGCTTTAAAACAGCGTTTACTAAAGAACATGAATTCAGGATTTATTGTAGAGTTGTTGTTCCAGGTTAGTTTCAATCTTGTGTATCAAATAAACTAAAAAAAAAAATCAGTTTAAAGTATACTCTATGGCCAAAAGTATGTGGACAACTTCAGAAAGTATGCGTACACGTCAGCATCACACTGCAAAACTAACAGGTTTAATCTGCTCCTGTAATTCTCTGGGAAGACGTAGGTTTGTTTCTGTCATGTTTGCCTTCATTAGACAGACAAGAGGACGTGCAAACCCCTCAACATGTAGAGTTTTGAACATATTTACAATTTTTACATTCTGCTGCATTAAATCAGATGAAGGAATCAGCCGTGTCTCCCCGGACTGAATGCTCTTTGATATAAATCCAAATTCAGACATTCGGTAACAGTTTCTGAACAGTTTTGTTTGTAAAAAAAAGAAACACCAAAGATATGAAATAGTTCAGTCTGTACTCAGGTATCAGCTCCTTCAGTACATCTGAGATCAATTATTCATTCGCTGTCAGTCGTCGGGCTCCATAGTGGCTTCGGAAACATCCACGGTCGACATCCAGAACCAGAATGTACCGTCTTTCATCAGCAGTGCAGCCAAACAAACCAAAACAAGCAAAAAAAATCTCTTTTTTTCTGTCGTAATTTGGCTTCTGGTGTGGCGTAGCGTCTCCCGTGGCCGAGGTCGCCGTCGCCTCCGGCTCCAACTCTTCTAATGAACTTTTTTTTTTTTTCTTTTTCACACAGTTTCTTTGCAAATGCTAAACAAACAGCAGCCACGGGATGAACCAAATAAAAAGGAGGACTCAATTAAAAAGCACAGGACACGGGAGGGTAAGCAGCAGCAGTCGGAGCTAACTGTGCACTGGCTTGTAAAACTGTGGGTTTAGTGTGAGCTCCTCGGGCGGACGAAAGTTTGGATGTTTTTCTATTTGAACTTTGGTGCCTCGACTCGAATTCTCCCAAACTAGCTCGCCGCGTAACGAGGAAGCTCCCCGGTTTTGTCTGAGTTCAGATCGAGGGAGTCTGGAGCCGTCCGAGGCCGCTGGATGTCGGCTGGGCGCTCATGCAGCGCCGCAAAACCCGCTTCAGCTTTAGACGGTTCAAACGCCAGCATCTCGGCTCACTTTGCTCCGTCTGATTTCTGCTCCCCGCACAGTAAACACCTCGCGGCCGAAACCTCGGCGCCCCGGCGGAGTCCGGAGGGAGGCTGAGATCAGCGAGCAGAAAGTGGAACAGCCGGAGCCGAACTTTAACACAATCGAAGCCGACAATCTGGCTTTTGCAATCTGTTTGATACATATTGG